CCATCTACATTTAAATTTTATCTGAATATGTTTATTCAAACTTTTTGAGGTTCTGCGGCCCACAAACCCATTTTTTGCAACTGCTGGAACCCTCTCTGCCTGCCATTGCCAAAATTAATATGTAGCATGATTTCCCACTATTTTGAGACCTGAAACATACAGGAACTAGTGCAAATCCTATAGACAGAGAAAACTGTAATGCAACAGACTTAACAGAGGGTTGGAGTGGGGGGGATCCTGTTTTACATTTTCCTCTAAGCTTGTGTTCTGCAAAAAGCTCCTTCGGTCTTCTACAACTACCACCCAGACCCTGGATCACAATGCACCTTCTGGAGAATGCTTCTTCCCTGTCTCTTACATGATACTTCCTAACAAGAGAGAAGGAGAGAGTTCTTCCCACTCAGCCTGTAAGAAAGAACAGAAAAAAGAGCACTGCTGGATCTGAACCAAAGCCCATCTAGTCCAGCATTTTATTCCCACAGTAGCAGATATGATGCCTATAAGCTTACAAGTGAGACAGTGGTACAACAACACACTCTCACTCACGTTTCCTAGTAATGGGTAATGAGAAACACAATGCCGCTGATGAGAGAAGCAATAGGTAGCTGTGGTGACTAGTAGCCACTGACGGTCTTATCTTCCATGAATTGGTTTAATCCCCTTATAAAATGGTCAAATAAACAGCCATTGTTATATTTTAGAGAAGCAAATTCCACACTAAGATATAGCTATGTCCTACATGAAATACTTTTGCTCTCTCCTCCCTCTCCCACCAGTGAACTTTATTTGTTGATCCTAGATTCTAGCATCCAACTACATCATGCATATTTTACACATATCTATCATGTGTGCCCCACCTCTCCCAGCATTCTTGTTTAAAACTAAAAATCCTCAAATGTTGTAATCTTTTCTCACAGGATAGCTGCTGCATTCTCTCAACCATTTCTAATGCTCTTTTCTGTGCAATTTCCAGCTCTACAATACTGTTGATGTGCATCAGCCAAAATTCAATAGAGCTTTCCAAGTCTGCTCATGCCATAAATTTTATAGCATTATGATGCCAGCATGTAACTTTACTTTTTACTCTTGCCTACTAATTTTAAATATGGAATTTGCATTCCTGACATACCTTCACAGTCCACACTCTATCATAAGCCTAACTAAGATACTTGGCCTCTAAAACAGGGGTCCCATGTTCCATCACCCTCATCAAATTTTAAGTAATGAATGGCAACATAAGTGAAGCCAAAAAGGGGGCTCTGATGGTCAAAAGAATTTACTCTATTTACATTTACAACCTGCTGAATCAGCCACTGGAGAAGAAAAAACCAGGACATTAAAGCATTCACAATATAAGTAAAAATTATATTTAAAATAATCCAACTCTAACAGAGCCATCAATGCACAGACTAAAATAATATCAGTGCATAAAAACAGCAGCACTTTGAACTAGAAGTACCTAGAAACCTACAGGCAGCCAATGTAGGCCATGCCACACAGGTGTTGTATACTTCTGGCAGCTAGCACATGGCAGTAAGAAGGCCACCTTACTTATTTTAAGAAAACTTCACTTGCTTGTTAAGGGACCCACATCTAGGGGTATATGTTAGACTAACCCTATTAGTTCACTCCGGTAGTGATAATCCCTTGAGTTGCTATACTTCCCCATGTGTTATGTTATGTCATGTTAGTAGTTATTAGTTATGTATTACTATCAGTTTTGTAACCTTTACTGTTTTTATGACTGTTTTAATGTTTTATGTAAGATGCCCAGCAAGGGTGTCCATAGGGAGGGTGTCAAAAAAATCAAGACAGGGGCCACAACCATGCTTTCAAAACTCTACCACCCTTTTTTATATATGTGTCAGGCTTCAACTGTATGTTTGTAGTTGCCATTCTGACATTTTTGACACCCCACCTGCAGACACCTTTAAATGTTCTCCTTCTGAGATCCCAAAAATGGGTTTGGAGATATTTGACCAGCCTCATACACATTAGAATCTGGCTCAGGGTATTAAAGTGTCCCAAAAGGCTTGTGCAATTTCTTTTCCATTTTAGATAATACTCCCACACATAAAGAGGCATTGAAAACCTGGTTTTGCCTGACAGTATGAGTAAGCCCATTCTTGGTCAAGGTTGTGTTAAATGAGTGTTCTCAGCTGCTATGTTATTTTATTTCTGTTGTTTTTAATTTTGGGTTTTTTTTAACTGTTTTTAAATTCTGTTTTTAACTGTTAGCTGTCCAGAGGCATGTGTATGAGATGGGCAGCCATATCAATTTATTAAATAAATAAACACCACACGTGCACATAAACACACACACACATACCCGCACATAGCATAAAAGTGGAAACAGGAGCTAAAGGAAAAACAATAAAGCTAAAGTCAGCAGAGTCAATCAAATTAAGACCCTACCATCAGAAAAAGCCCAATTAAAAAGGAAGCATTTATCCAGTAAAGCAAAGGAAACCAAGGACCTGGTGGATTTCTCTTGTGAGAATATTCTGGGGAAGGCCCTGAGTTACAGAGCTGTTTCTCCTGCTTTGGTTGGTAGAGGAATTTGAGCATTAAGTGGAGAATTTGCAGGTGAGGCCCTGTGATCTTGTTCAGCCTCCTTTTCAGAAAGTTCTCTAGAGCCCTAGCCAGGTTTTATTAAGAGCAAGTTGAGCAGAGTCCCTCCAGCGATCCTTCCCACAATAGGTGGATGCCTGGAGGAAGGGCTATGCAACATCAGCGACATAAGGAACTGGAGCTACTTAGTGTAACAATGCCTGTATTGCAATTCCCTCTGTAAGCTGCGGCTTTCTGCACCTATAAGCCTACCGACTATTATGGGCAACAGACATAGGACAGTTAGCATACGATTCTGCACTTTTATCTTCTTTCCTTGTCCAAAAGATCAACTTTGCATGTCTCTAGGTAACATGCCCCTTATTAGTTAGATGGCTATTCTCAGGGCTCTCATCACTTCCTTCCTCTTTCATGTATGAACATGGTTTTTATTGTATTTTAATCGTATTTTAATTAATATTTATTCTTGTTTTACTGTAAACTGCCCAGAGTTGCTCAAGTGAGATGGGCGGTGACTAAACCTGAAATATAAATACGTAAATATAAATATAAAAGTTCAGCTTTCTCTTCTGACTCTGACCTGTGGAGTTCAGGTTCTCACTTGATTCCCTCATTTTTACTCCCTACAGCTCTTAGCTGTAGGTAAATTTAAATAATTCAGTCTTCCCATGTTAATTCCTAAATAGAACAAAATCTCCAGACTCAAGAATACTTTCTTATAAGCTGCACTTCTAACTTTAGTGTTTCTCATTCCACATTTTCTTTCCCACGTATAAAGCTCTCTGGCATCCATCAGCCTATATATTGTAGAAATCCTTTTCAAGAATGCTTGGATAGGGTTGATGGTCTGTGACTATAGACAGGAGGAAAGGGCAGTGACAGCTATTTAAACAAAGGCCAGCTATGATGGAGATTTTATGCTCCCTCCCTCTCTTCTAAAAGGAAGTGCACTGTAACTATCAGCTGCACCACAAAAACTGCAAAATGACAGTACGTGTGTGTTTTTTAAAGACTTTGAATATTTGGAGGGAAATACAATTTCTTTGTTCTTTCATCAGACGCTTCTAAAAAATGCTAAATATGTATACAGTACAATATTTGTACAAATATCCCTTAACCCTAAGATACGGTAGGAGAGGAAGCGCTACAAGGAAATATATACATAAAGTTAAAACCACACAATCAAAGACTTTGCAATACCTCAAAGGATTATAAATCTGGAATGAAACAGCACTTAACAGTATAATTTTTGGGGGGGAAAAAGTGGTTCCTGGAATTAACGAGCTATATTACAGGACATGGCCTAGTACAAGTTGTGAGAAAACTGCTTTCACAAGAATATTTGTTGCTGACATAGCCATGACAATAATGGATTGCTTCTGGTCACGGGTGGACCTTCAACGGATTTCATTACAAATGCTAACATTTCATAGCATGAGTCAGACATATCAAAACTGCCACATTTGAGCTGAATTCACTATGGGGCCAGACTAATATGAATGTTTTGCCAGTTA